AAAAAAAAAAAAAAAAAAAAAAAGAATATCATTCTGCCACAGAGAAAGACAGGACTACCTTCTGTACCTCAAAAGTGATGTGAGCCAAACTTAAATTGCAAGTTTAAGGTTCTTTCAAGGGCAGATGTTGAGGAACTGAGCTCCCGTTGTCCCACTTTTCAGTAAGAGAAAAAAATACAAATGAGTCAAGTGATGACATTAAAATTTACATAATGAAAAGCAAAATTTTCTTCCATTCTTTCTCATTATTTGAAAAATTTGACTTCCTGGAAGCAATTAGGCATTATCAAGTTCTTAGAAATCTATTCAAAAGAGTCTCCATGACAATACATATGTGCATGTGTGGATATTATTGCAAAACAATATTACCCATGTTGTCTATTAAAATCATAAGATAAAAGAATTTTTGTAACTCTCAGTCTGAGGTAAGACATTTTAAAGAGTTTTTCATTCCAGGTATCCCAGCTTGTTCTTCCATCCCTCCCAGGAGCATATTTTCCATACCTCTACCATATTTCTATTTTGGAGGCATTTCTAATTCTACATCTCTTTCACATGTGAGGCCTGCTATGGAATGCTCTAAGAAGCCTTTAATGGTTAAGCTTGAATAACTGAAAAATTTGGTCTGACTTAGTAAATGGTCTAAATAAAGCAGATGATTATGATGAAATTGTCGCTAGGGCTTTAAGAAAACTCTAATTTTGCCTAGAGAGATGATGTCTGTTGGTTTTTTTTTTCTTTAAGAAACGTACATTCCATTTTCCTTTCCTGTTCCTTTTAACCTTCCCCGACTGCCGTCAGTCTATGCCTCACTCTATGTTCTATTAGAGAAATAGGATTAAGAAGAATAGAGTTGGAAGGAACCTCAGAGACAGGCAGTTGTACTTTTCATTTCAAAACTAATTTGCTGTGACATTTTGGATTATTTATGTGGCTTCTGTGGGCCTTTGTTTCTCCTTTGGTAATATGATCTCCAAGATTTCATTCAGTTTTATCTGATACTCTTGACAGTTCTCATGACATAACAGAATTTGGTGAATTATAAGTGTGCTCAGAAACCTCTTTTAAGGTGAGCATGAAAGATACAGGTCCAGGTAGAGCATTTGAACCTGAATATTATTAGATTGTGAACTTCAATGTAGTAGCCATGTCTTCATCACCTTAGATTTTCTTTGTCTCACTGCTGAAGTCTGTTTTGCATGGATTCTTGTCATACTTTATGACTTTTAAAGGCAGAGAAACACTTGGCTACAGTTCTTATTACTTAACAGCTTTTCAGCATTTTTTTTCATGCGCTCTGTGGCCAAATGAGTTTCTTAATCCTGACTGTACATTAGAACCTCCTGGCTTTCAAGGACTACTGGTCTCTTATCTATTCTCTCCACTCCTGTTACCAAACCCCCAGGATTGTGATTGAATTGGTACAAGATAGAGTGTGAGCATCAGCAGTTTTAGATAATATTCCTTGGTGACTCTAATGTGTAGCCACTGTTTATAAAAACTTCATGTGGTTATTAAATATTTCTGAGAGTTGTGTCCTTAAGAAGAATATAGACTAAGAATATTTCTAGATTTTCTACCTTCAAGAGTAAGAGAAGTGGAAAAAAATTCCCATGAAATAATTTGTTCAACCTTTTCAAATCTGTAAGTCTATAGTAGGAACAATAGGATATTTTGCTTGAATCTAATGTGTGGTCTCAGATGGAATAGTATCAGAATCGTTTTGGAACTTATCAGAAATGCAAATTATTAAACTGTTCTTTTGACCAAATAATCGGAATTTATGGGAGTGTGACTCACAGATCTGTATTTAGCAAGACCTTTCAGAAATCTTCATGAATGCTGAAGTTTGAGAACCGCCCATCTAGAGGGTTCTTGTACGTTTTAGAAGTTGTGTGTGAAAATCTTAGCCCGTTGTCAGGTAGTGAGAGTGTTATAAGATGAGTATTCTAGAAGTAGTATGTTTGACTGCGCGGTAGTCTGAATTTGGCTGGGGGCTGGACTTGGGACCTGTTGGCTACTCCTTTATTCTAACACAGTTGTTTATAAAGCCATTGGAGACCGAGTGAACCATTTCAGAGGTGTATCAGAAGAGCCAGACCAGCATGCCATCTCTCTACTGCACCTTCTGCTTCATTACTAAGCTCTTCTTTCTCCAAAGACCTATGCTGTGACTTCTGATCCTATGAAGAGGAACTGTATCTGAAATAAGTGAAAAGCAAGGAAAAACCAATTATTCATAAAAAGAGGAGAATATTTTCCCAACACACCAAAAACACTATTTTTAAAAGAGGAAAAATATAAAAAGTGTTAAAAGAGGAAGTTTGTTTTCTCAGTAAATTTTCCCCAAAATTCTTTTAAAAGATTCTAAACCATGAAGTGTGTAACTCTCAGATTTTAGAGATTAGATGCACTCTTTCAACAACTGCTTTTGGTGGTCAGAAATGTTGGGATTTCTTGGTATGCTGAGCTTCTTTACTTCCTGTTTGGATTGTGTTTATATTTCTACTGATTCTTATTCTAGTTTTCCTCATGTGTACTGCATGCGTTTTATTTTGTTTTGTTTTGGTACTGGGGATTGAACTTGGGTTCTTGTGCTTGTGAGGTAGGTGGCAGCACCGCTGAGCTAAATCCCAAGCCTGCTGCATGCGTTTTTGAACTTTAGTAAATGCTATTTTAACCAAAAGACATTCCATACATGATACAGTTGAAACTTTTCTAGATGTGTATCACACTAGACTATTCCTCACCATTCTCACTTTTATCATCTACTAATATTATTTTACTTCCCAATGTTTTGCTGTTTTATGACTTGATTTGTATTCTCTATTCCCTGAAATATTTTTTGCTGGTGTACTTACATTCCCCCTCCTTTTCTGCCCAGAATGGAGTTGCTCAGTGTATCATAAAGTTCAAGGACGTTTATATAATCTAGTACAGCTTCCTTTGTTCGTCCACCTGGACATAGCTTTATTTTATGGTGATTTCCAAAGGTTGGCTTTTTTTTTCATTTTTCACACACCATATCTTGTATTTCCCTACTTGTTTTCATGATTTTTCCTGCTCTACTTTGTTATTAATTTATTGAGGGCAAGCATCAAGTCTTACACAATTTGTTATTGCAATTACCCAACCCAAGCACATTTCCGGCTTTTGCTAAATGTATTTGACCCCTCTAGACCAGTTTTTTGTGTCACTTCTAAATATCAAATCTGTTCCTCCTTCCCCAGAAAGTTAAGCCTATTAATTAAACTGAAGAGAGCTAAGATAGGGAATAATTGCTATCCAAGGCAAAAAAATTATACCTCAAAGCCAAACACAAAGGTGTAAAATGCCAGCAACTGTAACTTTTAAAAGACTTTTGTAAAATTGCGTCCTCTTAACTTTATGTGCACACTTTCTTTCTGCAGGTGACTTCCTCCCACCGCCACCTCCACCTCTAGAGGATCCCAGCACTCTTCTACCTGGCTCTGGAAATTTTCCTCCTCCACCACCCCTTGATGAAGGTGTTTCCAAAGTGCAGGTAAGAGCTTCGGTTGAAGCCATGCTTGGAAGCTCATGAATTCAGGGATTGTTTCTGTGGTATATAAACATTTGTCCAGAGCCTATTCAGAGCTTTGCTGCTTGTGAGGCGCTAAAGCACTTGAATACAGAATGCCAGCTCAAGAGTTATGCTGGCTCATAGACTGAAGCTTTAGAAATCTTTTTACCTACTAATTTTGTTTCAAATCCCATAGCAATTTTTTAGGAATCTTCTTGGAAAAGTCCACATTTTCTTGGTAAGCCAGGGACACACAGGCTTTCTATAGTCTTTCCCCCACCTCTACCCACAAACATTGCATCCTACATGAGTGAGGCTGGTATTTTAGAACTCTGCTTGTTCACCATGGGTCCTAGTTTGTCAGCAACGTCTTTCTAACAAAAGCAAAAACAAAATCATCAGGGTTTTCTCTTCTGGGTGAGTTCGAGTGTGCACATCACAGATATGTGTAGACTATACCGAAGGATGGTGCATATAGTGTAGACTGCAAAGAAATTTAGGAATGAACACCGAAGTGACACTAGAGGTACTTCTTGGACTGATCATAGGTATCTGATGACTAGTGCCACCATTTAGGCTCAAGATCTCATACATATCAGAACAGAAAACTCATAGGATTATTGTTATATTCTTAGGTATGATGATGTTAGTTATAGACATATTGAAGAAAATTAGGGTACTTGTCTTTTAGAGAACTATTCAAAGTATTTCCAGGTAAGGTGGAATAATGTCTGGTGTTTGCTTTAAAATACCAAAAGTATGAAAGTACTAAATGAGAACACAGGTAAGAAAAAGGTTAGTTTCATGTTTATAACTATCATGTGCAGTCTGCAGTTTTGTACATGTTTAAAAATTTCCCATAAGTAGTGTAAACAAAGTAAGGCCACAGGGACGAACTGCTTATGCAATTTAATCTGTTTTCTTGCTTGCTGCTTTCTATAAATATTGGGTTAGGAGAGATAAAGGAAGAAATGATTTATCCATTCCACAAATATATGGCTATTATTCAAATACTAGAAATTCTGTAACAAATAGGATAGGTACAGCTTGTCCTCGTAGAACTTGTGTGTCAGTGCATTAATGGATATAAACAAAGTATGCATTATGATGTGCAATGGAATTGAGTGTTAGGGGAAGTAGGGAAAGGGACATAGCCTTCTGCAGTGAGTGTGGTCAGTAAGGCCTCACTGAGAACATGACATTTAAACAAAGACTTGAAGGAGAAGAGGAAAGAATGAGCCATATGAGTTTTCTCTGGAGATTTTCATGTAGTTGATGTCCATAGAAGCAGCTTTTAATAGTATTGATCTGTCACAATTAGTAAGTACCAGTTGTAATCACTTAAGTTTGAGTTCATTTTTGAGTCTAGATCTTTTGAATACTATTAAAAAATTGGGGCCTTGCATAAATAGCACACATTGTCTGTATTTCTTTTGCTCTAAGCTACCAACTCCCGAATTCAGTTGTCAGTGAAGGCAAGAGTTCTGCATAGTTAACATTTACTTTATGGGGCAGAATCTTTGGCAAAACAGTGATTGACTTATATATAAATGAAAAAAAAACTTGATTTTGTTTTATATACCTTATTTTGTGTGTGTCATTATTTTCATATTGTTCACTTTGCACAATTTAAAGAATCCTTATTCTCTATCCTGGGTTGCTAAGCAAACTGTTTTTGTTTTTTTTTTCATTTTAAAATCTTTAGTTTTGTTAAAGTTGTTTTAACTAATGAACGTAAACTTGTGTTTGAAAACTAGTTGAACAGCTCTACTCATTGAGCGATTTTGAGCAGGCCGCACTTGATACCAGTGTCTTCATAGTTTTTTTAAAAAGTTAAATATCTAATTTTGATAATCAGATGACATAAAAATGGAGTTTTTTAAGTTGTTAAACTGACACTGTATGTACAGAGATTTTGATGTAATAATAAATATTATTGTGTGAAACTAAAAGTAGCAAAAATAGTCTCTTTAAAACAACAACAACAACGAAAATCCTTCCATCCATCCATCCATCCATCCATCCATCCATCCATTCCTTGAACACAGGATACCTTTCATTTGCTTGTGTCTTCTTTTCATCAAATGTCATGTAGTTTTCATTGTAGAGCACTTTTAACTCCTATGTTAAAATTAATTCATAAGTGTTTTATTTTATTTCTGTAACGTTATAAATGGGATTTCATTTTTGCAGTAGTTTGCTTTGGTCCCATAGAAACACCACTGATTTCTGGACATTGATTTTTCAGCCTGCAGCTGTACTGTTTGTGTTTTAATTCTAATAGGTGTTTGTGGCATCTTAAGATTTTCTCTATATATGATCACACTGTGTGCAAACAGGGACAATTTGTCTCTCTCTTTTTCAATTTGGATGCCTTTTAATTCTTCCTTTTGGCCAGTACCTCTGGCTGGGACTTCCAGTACTGTGTTGAATAAATCCTTGTCCTGTTCGTGAGGCTTTCATAAATTTACCAAAAGTGTCTTTCTGTGTGGACTTTGTTCTGATAAATGTACTCAAGCTATGGCTTTGTTTTTGAAGAGGAAGGAAATAAACAAAAAGCCTGTTGCCATGTTGGCTTATGTTCTCTGTAAAACAGAAGGGAGGGAGATAAAAAATAAAGTAGGATTTGCCAAATGGAAAAGGACAAATCTGGTAGAGAGACTGTGTTATTTTTGAGACTCTTCATATGGGAGATTGTTGGCAAATTAAAAAAAAAATGGACGTGTCCTTCACTTGCATAATGGTAACTTAGGTGTAATAGTAACTTGGCTTTGAACTGGCCATACTTAAGCTACCTTTAGATGTGAACTATAATGCAGCCTAAAGTGGTATGATCACCGGAAAAAAATTTGCACATTTTCCTCTCAGCTCTGGTGAAGCCTCATGTTGCCAAGTCAAAATTATAGCTGGTAAATGTGTGTTTTTATGTCGAAGTCTGTTTATGTTTCCAACCAGCTTTTCAGATAGAGCCAAAAGAATGTCTACTAAGTGTGACTATGAGAATTATAAGATATTCAGGCCTGAAAGGGACCTTAGAGATCATTTAGTCAAACTCTGGCGCCAGGCACCTAGGTACAGTCCTTTTAAGTACTTGCTGAGTGAATTAATTATATTTTCTTGGAAATAGGGAAACTGAGACCCAAAGCAGTGTGGATTCTGTAGTTTCCAACAGAGCCTCTTCTGAATTTGGCCTTGACCTTGTTCCCACTGTAACAGATGGCTCCTGCACTTGATTTTCCCTTACTTAGCACTCTATTCAACTGTAAGACCCTGGGGATACTTGCCTTTTTTTATTGAGAAGAACCAAGAGCTGCTAGAGTTTTGCTTGTATCTCTTAAATTTTTGATACATAATGTAAACTTCATTTTCTTTGCAAAAGGCAAATAAATATTGTCAAGAATTCTTGTTTTGAGAATTCTCATTTTTGTGGAAAATGTGAAATCTTGGAAGAAGACCAGTGAGGATTTTAGTTTGCTTTTCTATCAGGATCAATATGAGCTCAGCGCCTGTAAAGGTTGTAGTGACTCTGGAGTAGCCGCTTTATTCATTTGGTCTTCATTCCTTCAGTGTAAACTAAACAGTCCTATAAGTGAATATATATTGTAAGGATTAGGGCTTAGAGCTTGGCCTCATGATTCAGCTTTGGTGATTCATGTGTATTTAGGAATCTGTCCGCTTCTGTGTTTTCCATCTTATTATAATACAGATTCTTGAAGTAGGTATCCAAGATCTACTGGATTTCTGGAGGATCTGTTGTGATTTTACCATTTTCATTCCTAATTGCATGAATTTGAGTCTTTCTCTTTTTTTGATAAGGATGGCTAAGGGTTTGACAATTTTATTTAATCTTTCAAAGAACCAACTCTTCATTGACTCTTTGTATTGTTTTCTTATTCTCCATTACATTAATTTCTGCTCTGATCTTTATAATTTCCTCCCTGGTATGAGTTTAGGGTTTGACTTGCTGTTTTTTCCTAGAAACTTGAGGTTCAACATTAGGTTGTTTCATCAGTATCTAAAATGTACCTGAAAAATAAAAATTTTTAAAAAAAAAGAAAAAAGAGAAAGAAGAACTTGTCCACAGAGGCCTGGTTAAACCGAATCTTGAACCGTGGGAATATTAGCTAGCTTTGCTCTGATTTGATATCAAGGTGGGTAATTTCCTTTTATTTTCAGCCTATAAGATTACATAAGATTGCTTAGAGCAGTTATTAAAGGGGAAAAATGTCTCCTAGAATGTCAGGGTTGCACAGGAGTTTGAGGTCACACATGTAAGCCACTGTCTATTATTTGAACCTTGCTTTTTTTTCTATTTAACTAAATGTTATGGATGTTATATATATGTATAACATTTGCGTATAGTTTTTAAATTAAGGCATGCCATGGTAAATTATATTCAGTCATAATGCTTTGATCAAAGCACAATCTAAAACTTGTGTTAGTTTTGAGGAAATAAATTAATTGCAATTGTGTATATGCAAGCAAGACTCTTGGAAACAATTTTAATGAATTTGAACTTTGATGGCTGGGAAAATCTAATTTTAAGTTAGCAGAATGGATTTTTTTCTTTTCTGTCATTAAGTAGAAAGAAAAAGTACAAAGTAAGAAAAGTGGAGGGATTTTCTTTTCAATTGATTGTTACAGGATAAAAAGAAAGATGTTTGTAGCAGCTAAATTCATAGTAGATAAACCCTCAAAGCAGCCTGTATACGTATCGACAGATTAATGGATAAAGGAAATAGCTATACACAAGGGAATACTACTTGGTAATAAAGAAGGACAAGATCAAGACATTTGTAGGAAAATTGATACACCTGGCAAATATAACCTTGAATGAAATAGGCACACAAAGTTCAATCCCATATAGTATCTCTAATTTGAGTAAGGCAAAGTACAAATAAGGGCATAATAAGGGAGGGGTAGAAAGGGACAAAGAGACAGATCATTAGCAAATGGCAGAGGGTCTTAGAGATCCAGGGCAA